TTTCTAGGATGAGTTTGTGTGAACTTAATTGTCTGACCTCGTATGGTTATTTTTGGCAATTACATAACACTTAGATCTCCTACTGTGTTAGAAGTTAACTAAAATCTGTGGATGATTTTCAATTTGACTATTATTAATTTTGGTCTCTTATCCATATGTGTGCAAATCATTTTACGAACCTAAAATATAGTACTTTCCAATTATACTGATTGCATCAGATGTGGTGCTTTGGGTTTCCAGAAACATATAAAAGTAGTTTACACTATGAGGACATTTATTTCCATCATGTAACTGAAAGTCCAGAGGTACATATGTTCAAAGTTAGTTCAGGAGATGAGTACTGAAGAGGAACAGAGGCTGTTTCCTCCTTTAGTTGCCAACCTCAGTGTGTCAGTGATACATTCATCAAGAGGAGAAGATGGTGGTGGTAGCTTCAAGCACTGTACTGTTGTGGGCCAACCGAGTAGCTCTCACCTCCCCCACCACACACACACACATTGAAAAACTTCTAAGTTTTCTTTCCTATAGAAATATTAAGTATAGAAATGTTAAGTTTCCTCCTTAGTTTGTTAGTTCCTTAGCTCCTGGCTTTGATTACTCTTCTAATCAGTTTCTGAATCCTAAACAATAGATTGTTCATAGAAATCTGCTACCCCTGCTCCAGATAACTACTTAAAAGTCTGTGACTTCTCAACATCCTCCAAAGCCATCCCAGGGACTAAATAGGTTTTAACATTTCCCCAGGCCAGTTAGCCTTATGATTCTTTCCAAACCCCTTCTGGGCACAGACAATTGACCCCACCTGAGTGACCAGTTGCATCTGAATGGCCACAGGCTTCCTAAGAGCTAACAGATTTATTAATTAAAATCTATTTTTCCTCATTCAGGGGCTTTGAGGATACAGATGATACCCCAGCAAGATTGCCAGTTGCAACTAAAGAAGCCAACATGGTCTTCCAGGCGGATCTTGAGACCCCTTCCTCTCATCTGAGATCAACTAGCGTGAGAGTTCCGTAAATCCCCCAATAGGCAGGGACAGCTCTACGCCCCTGCCCAGCAGGAAGCAGATACAGAAGAAAAGAACTCCTGTCCCTCAGCTTCCCATAGAGATTTTATGGGGATCACGTCTCTCTAGGGGAAAACAAGGCAGGCAGTCAGAGGCAGGCATTGGATCTCTGCATTCCTGCATGTCTCACAGAATGCAACAGCCCAGGAGACCTCCCCTCTCCACCCAAAACTCCCCCTTTGTATCGTAATTATCTACCCCTGAGGGAAACAAATGGAGACAAAATACCCAACTAGATCAGACCAGTCACGGGCACCTGTGCAATACTTGTTGTCAATCACAGGTGTCAATCAGGTGGTCCCATGCCCAGAGGGGAACAGCCCATTCTAGAGAAAAAGGGATTAAAAACTCCAAGTCCTGGCCAGTCAAGCCCCCTTTTTTTTGAGCATTTTAACCTAACAATGCCACCTTGGCCTTGAGCCCCTTGAACCTTTGGCCGCCTTTTGAGCTTCTTCCTTTGTGCAGCCCGCTCCAAACGCTTGGAGTGTAATTTCTCTTCTAATAATGGGCCCTTGAGCTGTCCTCTACTACTCGGGCCCGCTTCTGCTTCTTTGAAGTGTACTATCTCTTCTAATAAACTGCTTTTTCACTACTTTGCCTTGGTATCTCGTTCAATTCCTTGCTCGAGACGCCAAGAACCTGGATATCGCACCGAGAAGGGCCCATTCTCCGACAACAGTACCTTCACATGAAAAAAATCTAAAAGCAGATGGGAGAGGTGGGCATCTTGACTCAGAGGCTTAATATCTTTCTCTCTTTTTGAACAATTAGAAAAAGAAATTTAGGTACAATAATGCATAAATCTGAACTGTGCAGTTGAATGAGTTTTTGACAAATATATATATTCATATAACCCACATCCCTATTGAGATATGGAACATTTTTATCACCCCAGAGAGCTTCCTTGAACACTTTCCTAGTTAATCATCACTATTGCCATCACCCCCTAAGTCCACCCAGAAGCAACCACAGCTTAGATCTCTTAAATCATTCTTTCCGTTTTGTAATCAGGGATGAACATCTTTCTCAGAGGGCCTCCTGGCATCTCCTTGGCTGGAACTGTGTCTCTTCCAACCTTTAAGTCAATCACCGACTAAAAGAGTGATTATAACACCACTATATTATAGACCATTTATGATTCACCCGTTCCCTGGGGTTGAAGGAGGGTGGGGTCCATTTGACTTCAGCACATAGCTGGATTTCCAAATAAAAAGTCTTTTTTTTTTTTTTAAAGCAAGGAAGAAGGAGGAAATGGCACGCGTACACACACACACAGACACACACACACAGCCATTTTGTCAGTCTACACATGCAGCCCTTCAATACCTAACCTATTCTTCCAGCTTTATTTCACTTGCAAATATACTAAGAACATGTTCATTCAAGTCAATGATTGAAGTACTGATGACAAACAAATGTCCACACCTCCCTGAAGTTTACATCCGTTTCCAATGCTCTCTTCAAAGTTCTTCATCCAGGTCCAAATATAATCAAATTTATACTTGTCTGGGCCCCAAATCTCCATTCAGCCCACTAAGATATCACGAGAAATTTTATTCAGCACTTTGTTTCCTATATTGGGGTACACAGAGGTGTGTCAGTGGACACATTTATAGTACATTTCACCCTTAAAAATATCTTTCTGCTTTTCTATACCTCAGTAGTTTCCATGAGCCTAAGCTTATTTTCAGCTCAAACATTTTATATCTCTGCTACTCTTGTGTATTTATCATTTGTTTTATGCTGGTTTCCTTTTTGTATACATTCTTTTAAAAGCTGAGCTGTTGAGAATGATCAGAATAATAACTTGTTTTTTAGCCACCCTTTCATTTTTCCTGTTTTTTAGTATGTTAATGATTTCACTGTGAGCCTCCCAATTCCTTTATAATCCAGCTTCCTCTTGATTTATAGCTAATGTTTCTATGATCTTAGGAATTTTTTTAAAAAATTGCTTTCTAAACAATGCCCAGTTTCATATATCTAACTGTAGCTAGCATATTCTTTATTATTACGGACCCTAAAATGGCATTGGCATATCCTGTTAAAATAATTTCTATAACTTCCATTTCATCCTTATTGGTTATAATTAAGTCCATAAAATTACATTCCCCTGTTGCATAATCTACCCTCGAGAGATAAGACTATTGGCAAGATCAGTAAAAAACGTACGAAATATTCTGCTTTAGCAGAATATGGATGTGTAGTTTCCAATTATGACGTCTGTCTGCCTCTAGGCCAGATCTGAACCTTGCATTAGGAGAGTATGTATCAGGCATGTTCTTCCACCTAAGTTAAGGTATCTGTGTTTGGCTCCCACAGTATTGTCAGCTGGCGTGTCTTATCCTGTACTCTCAGGCTGTGTTCTCCACCATGCTTAAACCTACGAGCTCAAGGATTTCTAAGCAGGGCACATCTCAACAGGTGTGATTTGACTTGCACAGCATATAAACTCCTGTTGACATATTCCAGAGATTACCTATATCTCTGCAAGTTTCTCTTACCTAGGAGATCACACTTATCTATTTTCATTGTATTTTAGGATTACCTTATTATTTCATCAGTCCTAGTTGAAAGGCATGAAGTATTAAAAAGTATTTGTCAGAGATATAGGTGAATCAAAGTCAATCACATTTTAGTATTTTAAAAAGACACCCCTTGCAACTACAGGAACCAGAGGAACAAATTTAGGGTACCTTTTTTCTATTTAAAAAATAATTTATTTAAATTTTCTTGTAGCAAAACTGATGTGAGTTTTTATTTTATTTTCTCTTGTGAATCACTGACATTTTCTCAGCTTCCGTGTTACCTCCACTTTAGGTTCCATGTGATATTCTCCAAAGCACTTCATTTTATCATTTTATCTGAGCATTTTTCTTCCCTTTCTTCAAATTTCAGTTTATAGTTCTCTTTATTAGGTTGGCAAGATTCCTTAAGTGCATTCCTCTCAGATATACTCTATCCCTTACACAAAGTCAGTTATATTACCAGCATAAGCCCCAGGTTAGAAAACCTAGTTTTTGTCTTCTTTTGCTGTTTTGATCAAGTGCAACTTGATACCAATACCTTTTATTTCTTCTTCAAAGTCATGGCCTCAACTGGAAGAAGGGAAGAAAACACCCCTTCAATACCGACACCGAGTGCCTCTTATCATTCATTGCCATGTGCATCAACAGAGTATAGCACAATATGTAAATATAATAAGTCTCAGGAAACCTCATGAGGGAACCTCCTATATCAGTTCCACCATGATTTACTTCAATATAAATGAGAAAGAAATAAGATGCTTTCCCTCGTTCCCACATCTGGAAGATATGGTTTGGATCTTTATCCTCTGACTCTCAATTGTAAGTCTTCAGAGGCCTACATGCATTTAGCTAACGTGTAAAGGATATGTTATAAATGATCAGACAATGCATAAAAAGATTTAGATAGTATTATCAAGGATTCCATCATAGGTTTTAAAAATATTCTCTTTACTGATGACAGTTACCAAGTTACTCATATACTACATATATGAGACTTAAAATGTGAGGTTGAACTTGAAAGTGTACCAGACACAAAAGAGACCAAAAGACAGTAATACTGTCTAAAGGAATTTAGCAATCTATTCAGTAAGTTAGCAGTCCTGAACATAGACATAAGCACCTATGACCTGCTGTAACACCAGGCTTCCACAAAAAGGTGGTGCACCCAATCTCGCGTAGCACTGGGCTCACGTAAGTGCTTTTGGGATGATTTTATAGCAGCAAGGAAACATCAATTCACATTTACTGTACAACCTTAGAAGACTAAATCAGTTAACAAACACTTGACACAGAGACTAGACCTCACAAAAGTTATGTCCATATGAAGATTTATGACAAAGAATTATTTAAATAAAAAATCTTCCATTCAAACACAGCAGTACTGAAAGTTCAATACCAAAGTTACTTACTTTTACTATGATAAGCCTCGCTCCGTTTTCACACCTCTTGTTATCATTTTCTGTATACTCTACTTCAAACAGGGTATTATAATTTTCTAGTATTTTAGCCATTATCTTGTTGCAGAGGTCTTGTTCTTTCATGCCTTCAAGCCCAGGTGGCACACTAGAAATAAGAAAAAAAATATATATATATATATGACAGAAATCACTTTGTAAAAATAAAAATACCAGCACAGCCGACTCAAGCTTAAGAGTATATTTTGACATCTCCACTCCAGAATGATTGATCAGCCTTCTTATAAGGACACATGGGATTTTTAACAAGCTTTATGGTGACATGTACGATATTGCCAGGACAATGGGCGAGTTCCCAAGATTTGAATCAATAGCTTGTGCTGAATAAGAGAAGTGCATGTTGTTCAGGAAGAAGATATAGGTTAATATGCCTGCAATAATGCTTTGTATATATTAGAAACTGCTATACATAAGGTAATATTTATATAAACATAAAAGCAATAAAGAACAAGGGTTATGACAAAAAGAATGAGTGTTTTATCATGACAGAAATACTCAGCCACACAAATAATAGCAACACAATCTTCATTTAAGGATTTCTTAGATAATACACAGAAAGTCCAAAAAGTAAAGGAAAAGATGAATACTGCGTGGAAAAAAAATCCTGATAATTGTTGAAGCTGAGTGATGGGTACATGGGAGATTTAGTATACTGTTCTGTCTTCTTTTGGGTATGTTTAAAAATTTCCATAATTAAAAATAGGTGAAAAAAACCTGCATGCAGAAGACGCCATAATATAAATAAGATTAAATATTTTTTCAGTAACATGGAAAACTGACAGAAGTTTAGTAGTCAGACTATGAAAAGAATTCCTACTAATCAATAAGAAAATGAATTTTTTAGAAAAAAGACAAAACCATGGGTTGAAAAACACCGTAAAAAAAAAACACGTGCATAGTCAATAATCTTAGATAACCATATTTAACCTCATTGAGTAACCAGTGAAATGAGTTAAAAAAGCAACACTGAGGTATCATTTAATACCCATCTGTGTTAGTTTCCTGTGGCTGCTGTAACAAATTATCATAAACCGGGTGGCTTAAAACAACAGACATTTATTCTCTCAGTTCTGAAGGCCAGAAGAGCCAAATCAGTATCATTGGGCAGAAATTACATTATGAGCAGGGCCCACTCCCTCGAGGCTCTAGGGGAGAATCTGTTCCTGCTTCTGGTGGCTGGCAGCATTGCTTGGCTGTGGTTGCATCGTGTTAATCTTCAATCAAGGCCAGCATTTACAAATTTCTCTCTGCTCTGTCTTCACATGGCCTTCTTCTCTGTGTATATGTCTAATCTCCCTCTACCTCCTTCTTATAAAGGATACATGTAATGGCGTTTAGTGCCCACCCAGATAATCCAAAATAATGCCCTTATCTCAAGAGTTCTATAGTAATTACAACTGTAAAGTCCCCTCTCCCCACCCCCCATAATGTAACATTTACAGTTTCTAAGGATTATAACCTGATATCTCTGGGGGACATTATGCAGCCTGCTACACCACCTTTGGGGTACATATCCTGAGGTGACTACCACGGGTCACACTCTTATACTCCCATCAGTTATAGGCAGAATCTGTGACTTGATTCTGATTAAGAGAACATAAGAGAATTAAGAAAGGTGACAGGATGTTACTCCCATGAGTATATTGTTATATGAGGCTCACGCTTAGCAAACTGGTGTGCAGATTCTGCTGCAGGCGTTGGAAAAAGAAGTTCCCATGTTCAGAAAGGGCTTGTGAGAGAGCTATATGGCAGAGGACTAACATGGACCTGAGGCCTCTAGCTCACAGCCAGGAAGAAGCTGGGGTCCTTAGTCATGCCGCTGCAAGGAAATGTTTTACTAACAATCTGAGTGAGCCTGAACGCAGATTCTTTAGGCCTCCATAAGAAAAGGCAGCCCAGCTGATCCTTTGCATTCAGCATTGTGAGACCAAGAGCATAGGACCCAGCTGAGTAGTGCTTGGACACCTGACACATGGAAACTGTGACAGAGCAAATGTTTGTTGTTTTAAGCCACTAAATTTGTGGTGATTTGTTCACAATAATTAAAAAACTGATAGAGTTTGGTGCCTGGAAGTGGGGTGCTGCTGTAACAAATATCTAAAATGTGGGCATGGCTTAAAATAGGACAGTGAGAGGAGGCTGGAAGAATTTGGGGCACATGACAGAGAAAGCCTAAAATGCCTTGAACAGATTATTAGTAGAAATCTGGATGCTGCTGCTGAGCACTCATAAGGAAATGAGGAATGTGTTACTGGAAACTGGAGGATGGGAGATCCTTGTTCTGTTGGAAGAAAGCTTAGCAAAACTGTATCCTGAAGTAATATGGGAAGCAGCACTTGTAAGCAACAAGTTTGGATATATGAAGTGTGATAAAAAAGTACGGTAAATGTTTACATTAAAAAAAATTATTACAGTAAAAGACACATTGCCATTAATCACCCTCAAAATATTCCCCCCTCACTTCGAACATACTTATCCCATCGTTCTTGTCATTTTTCTGAAGCAGTTCTGGAAGTCCTCTTTCGTGAGTGTCTTTACTTCATCCTCCATCATGAGAACACTCTGTCACACATCGCTTCTGGTACAGCAATTTCTGTCAAATAAAAACATTATGGCGTGTCCTCATCTACCCTATTCACTGGATCTGGCACTGTGCAGACTTCTGGCTCTTCCCCCAAATCAAAACGACCATGAAAGGTAAACGTTTTGAATTGATTCAGGACATTGAGGCAGCTATGACAGCGCAACTAAAGACACTCACAAAAGAGGACTTCCAGAACTGCTTCAGAAAGTGGCAAGAATGATGGGATAAGTTTGTTCAAAGCTGGGGGTAGGGGAGGGGGGAGTATTTTGAAGGGAATTAATGGCAATGTGTCTTTCACTGTAATACGTTTTTAAAAACTTAAAACATTAACCATATTTTTTGATCATATCTCATACAGTCCAAGAGATTTCCAAGCAATGTTTTGAAAGCAGCACCTGGTTTCTTCTTGCCTCTTATAGTAAAATCTGAGAGCGAGAGAAAGAAATTGAGGTAATAACTGCCAAGTAAAAAAGAACGGGACTTGATTTTCAAAACTCTGACTCTAAGATGAAAAAAGAAACTAAAGTTAAAAGATTCACTGTCAGGGAATCAGGCTCCACAGACAAGGTTGAGAGTATGACGATAAAACCTTTTGCTAAGACCTCAGAAATATCAAAATCTCAGATCATTCAGCCACACAAAGGTCCCTTTCAGATGTTTAAGGATGTGTCTCACAGATCATACCAATTAAAACAGTGCCTCTATGAATTTAAAGGCACTGCACCTCAACTACCTTAGCATGAGCGTAAGAAAAGGATTATTTTGAAAAGACGTATGTATGCATCTTTTTGCTAAAGGCGTGAATCCCAGTGAAATCCACAGAAGAATTGTACATTTTTGAGAAATTATTTCAGCAGAAACACTGCCAAGTTAATATGAAAGGGACAGAAACAGCACAAAATGAAAGTAGGCTACTGGATCCCCAAAGTTTATTAGCAGGAAGTAGGCTGATAAAACTACACAGCTGCAAACATATGCTGCCTCTCAACAAAAATGAAAGGTGGCAGCAGCTGGGTGGCTCAGTTGGTTAGAGTGCGAGCTCTGAGCAACAGGGTTGCCAGTTTGATTCCCACATGGGCAAGTGAGCTGCAGCCCCCCAACTAGACTGAACATGGTGAATGGATTTGGAGCTGAGCTGTGCCCTCCACAACTAAGACTGAAGGACAACAACTTGACTTGGAGCTGATGGGTCCTGAAAAAAACACACTGTTCCCCAATAACGTTTAAAAAAAAAATGAAGGATGACTCAGAGGGCCGAACCACAAACCAAGAGGGTGAAGGTGAAAGCCATGAAGAAGTATTCTCATACCTTTGAACATAATCAAGATACCCCCGGGCTGGATACAGAACTGCCATTGGCTAGTGACTTCATTTTATCTTTAACTTTCCTTCTGTTTGAACTAGAGGATCTATAGCTGTTATCCTATGTTTGTTCCATCAGTATATGTTAGGTGTGTGGGGGGTAATAACTTATCTCTTTAGTTTCATGCTCTAAAGACCAGCCTTTTTCAAACAGAGAGCCACAGCCAGCTCTGAGATACAGCCAGTTGTGGCAAGTTATCTTTTATAACAAAATGGAAACTTTTGCACATGTTTGCTTATTTAGAAATTAAATTAGATTTGAAGTATTCTATATAATAAAACTACTCTCAATTATTTGCATTAAAATGTTTCTTTAGTCAGATTAAAGGATAAAGTTTAAGTTAAGTGATAGGGCCCATGCATTTCCTCAAGACTTTTCATCAATGCTGCAGCAGTCTGTTGAAAACAGCTGCGGCAACTATAATTTTCTGTCATATAGTTATTTCAATTTATAAAGCCTTATCCATTTTAAATTTACTAATGTTTAAAAAAACCAACAAGGCAAAAACAAATGAATAAAAGTAAGGAGAAGATTCTGGGAAGATGGTGTAGGTGTAGTAGGACACACCAGAAATCTGTCTCCCCACCTAGACAATTACACTAGCAGAATCTGTCTGATGAAACTATTTCGGAACTGTAGAGTTAATTGAAGGCTGGAAATTCCAGGGGAAGGCTTCGATGATAAATTGTGGCTAATTTTGGTCAATTTTAGCTTTTAGCACAGTAATAGCCACACACACCCCCTCACCCATAGCCATGTGGCAGGCAGCTGTGCCTGTATTGCTAGAGTAGCTTACACATAGCTTGCAGGAGCCAGAACAGGCAAAAAGGACCCTGTCCTCCAAATACCAGGGATCTGTGCTCTGAATGCTGCTTCTGAGGTGTAAAGAGGTAGGCAGCTATTGTTGTTGCACCTCCTTCATTGGCTGCAAGCTCTTAGATGACAAGATTTCTAGTGGATTTAGAAGGCTGGCATCCTTTAATCCTCCCCTTTGACTTTTTACTTTTTCCTCTTTTGGGAGCCACAAATTAAAAGCTAGAACATTAAACAACAACTGCATAGGGAAATTAGAAAGTGACTGTGCATGCCCAGGAAAAGGTTTAAAAAACACTTGAAAAGACCTGAAGTTTACACTTCAGGC